ACTAACTACTATATATATATATATATATATATATATATATATACATACATACAATATAAATAAGTAACAAAAAATTCATATCATAGATATAAGTATATAAATTTCACTCTGTTATGTAAAACAGTCAAAGGAATAACTTCAAATATTCTTCGAGCTTGCACTTGTGTAACAATGATAAAAGTTTCTTATTTGTGAAAATTCATATAATGGATAGTACATTTATTTCCACAAGAAATAGGAAATAGAGAGTGATTTCTTGCTGAATTGCTTTAAGTTGCTTCATTATCATCATCATTGTCATCCAAGCCTTATCCCAATTATTTGGGTTGGGTTACATGAATTTTGTTCCTACATTATTTTCTATCAAGGGCCATACCCTCCTCCGTAAGACCAAAAGTCATCATATCTTTTCTCACTACTTTTATGCTTGCCTTTTTGGGCTTTTCCACCTTCCACTTGAACCAAATCGCACCCCTGAACAATGATGTATTAGGCCTATGCTGCATATGGTCAGCTCACCAAAGTCCACTTTCTGTCATCTTATCACTTGTTGAAGCCACACCTAAGTTCCCTAGTATGTATTCATTCTGAATTCTATCATTTTTTGTCTTGCCACTCATCTATCTCAGCATCCTCATCTCAGCTATGCTGCACATGGCCAGCCCACCTAAGTCTACTTTCCCTCATGTTTTAAGTTGTTTGTAACCAATTATAAACGTGATATTGCTTACTTTGAAAAGTATGTTGCCACAATTATCCTATGTCACAACATAATGTGATCAAATAGCCCCATCTATGGTTGTGGGCATTGACAACCTTTCCAGAAAATTATGTCTAAGAAAAAAATGCCACATTTAAAAGATTGTGGGCTTTCAATTTCCAAGTTAAAGGTGACCCTCACAATAAGGTGTAAGCAATGTAGTGACTGTTGAGTAAACTGTGTTTCGAAGCCAATGGTGGTTTCCATAGGCTGCTGAAATTACATACATATCCGTTATAGTTTCTGTTATTATGGCTATACCGAATAGTTTTTGTTATTATCACCGTGTCTGTTTTTTTATGTCAAAACAGAAATTTTTAAAAAGATGACTTTACCCTTTTGCAGTTGTTGAACAACCGAATTCAAAGTATTTTCAGTTGTTCAACAACCGAAAACGGGGCCAATTTTGGGTTTTGAATAACCGAAAATTATTTAAAATTTTCGGTTATCTTGTGGGTTTGTGTATCCTCTCTCTACCTCTCTCTCAACATTACATGGGTAAAAATGCTTTTTTTTTTTTTAACTCTCTCACTCCTCTTCACCCAACATCTTTTTTTTGGGTAAAGTTCATAATCCCTGAGATTTCTCCTAAATTTAGGGGCTCAAACTAGCTGTTCCCCCCTGATTTTATCGGATAACCATGACTTCAAAGTGGTAGAGAGAAAATGCGCCACAAGATTTCTCCTAATCTCATAATCCCTAAGATTTCTCATAAATTTAGGGGATCAAACTAGTTGTTCCCCTTTGATTTTATCGAATAACTATGACTTCAGAGAGGTAGAGAAAATACGGCACAAGAGAGAGAACATTTTCCGTTCTTGAAGAACCGAAAATTTAAAATTTTCGGTTCTTCAAAAACCGAAATTGGTGATAATAAAAAAAGGGTAAAGTCGTCTTTTTTTAAAATTTCTATTTTGACATGAAAAAACGGGCGCGGTGATAATAATGAAAACTATTCGGTAGAGCCGTAATAACGGAAACTATAACGAATATGTATGTAATTTTCCCTTCTTTTTGAAAAACAATACTGGAGCACTCCAAGGTGACACACTAGGTCAGAGTTGATCCTGAATGGGCACTCAAATTGAAACCGTAGTTATCCTGAAAAAATGTTTACCATAATTTGATGAGTTTGGCTACTCAGTAAGTGATCATCATAATCCTAAAAATAATCATGGTTGAAAGATATCAATATTTTTGAAAAGGAGATCTATTAATAGAAATGCATCAACAATTTCACTTTAAAAAATGCATAATTAAGTCGAATTCGAATAATTGAAATACGTATAGCATTTTAACGTCAGTGCATAATTCAAAAGAGTTCATAAAATACCCTACCGACGTCCCAAGTAGGTCACCTATATACCCCATCAGCGTCCTGATGGATCCACTTAATCCCTATCGGTGTCCCAGATAGGTCTACTTAATCCTTGCAGGTCCACTTATACCTCACCGGCGTACCGGAGGAGTCCACTTAATCCCTACCGGCTTAACGGATAGGTCCACTTATACCTCAGCGACGAACCGGATGAGTCCGCTTGCATACTTAAAAGTATTTCTGATTCTCTATAAACATTCGAAAGCAGCAATATCATGTACTCAACATGTCACTGAATTATTAATATGAATTTCACAGAAACCATTAATAACAGTCACTTTCAATAACATTTCAAAAATAACTAGTCAAATATTTTGGGATCAAATTTAGAAAGGTAGCAGTTCGTAAAGACATTTTAGCATAATTGGCAATCTAATATGTATAAAAAAATTCTTATAGAAATTCAAGAATACGGAATTATCACAATTTATGGGATGTCAATTCGCAAATAAACATTTCACATACAATGCTATAATCAATTGCAAAAATATTAGTTTTTCAATAATAAGGCAGCCATTTGCACCCTGAAATTTACAATATGTAAATCTTCAAAAACAGCAGAAAGAAATCTCACAATTTTTCTAAAAGCAGAAATATCACATTTATTTTTAATAATTTTACAGTAACTAAAATTCTCTGACAATAGATAAGAAAAATAAATAAATTTATTTCGAATAATTTACAGCATTTAAAATTTCTAACATAGATAAAATATCACGATTTTATTTAAAAGAAT